GATTGACTGCCATCCATCTTTCCCCTTCCGTCTGTCTCCCACTCCTTAGAGGACTCTGTTATGAGCTAGGCCATCGGTACCCCTGGTTAGCAAGGCCTATTGGACTGGCCCTCCATCTCACCTCATCCGTCTGTCTGTCCACTCCTTAAGAGAGCTCCCTGGGTTAGAGCTAGGCCCGATTGGACTGGCCCTCCATCTTCCACCTCATCCGTCTGTCTGTCCACGCAAATTAGAGGAGCTCCTGGTTAGAGCTAGGCCGATTGGACTGGCCCTCCATCTTCCCCTCATCCGTCTGTCTGTCCACTCCTTAGAGGAGCTCCTGGGTTAGAGCTAGGCCGATTGGAGCTGTGCCCTCCATCTCCACCTCATGCCGTCTGTCTGTCCACTCCTTAGAGGAGCTCCTGGGTTAGAGCTAGGCCATTGGACTGGCCCTCCATCTCCACCTCATCCGTCTGTCTGTCCACTCCTTAGAGGAGCTCCTGGGTTAGAGCTAGGCCGATTGGACTGGCCCTCCATCTCCACCTCATCCGTCTGTCTGTCCACTCCTTAGAGGAGCTCCTGGGTTAGAGCTAGGCCGATTGGACTGGCCCTCCATCTTCCCCTCATCCGTCTGTCTGTCCACTCCTTAGGGAGCTGCAGCTCCTGGGTTAGAGCTAGGCCGATTGGACTGGCCCTCCATCTCCACCTCATCCGTCTGTCTGTCCACTCCTTAGAGGAGCTCCTGGGTTAGTAGCTAGGGCCGATTGGACTGGCCCTCCATCTTCCCCTCATCCGTCTGTCGTCCACTCCTAAGGAGCTCTCCTGGTTAAGCTAGGCCTGATTTACTGGCTCCATCTTCCCCTCATCCGTCTGTCTGTCCACCCTTGCTGGACTCTGGTAGGCTAGCCCGATGGACTGGCCCTCCATCTTCCCCTCATCCGTCTGTCTGTCCACTCCTTAGTTAGAGGAGCACCAAGCGTTTACAGAGGTGAAGGGTCAACCACCCTGACCTCATATTGACCTTACATTACCTAGGTTACATTACATGGGTTTAGGGTTACAAAATTCCCAGGTTTCCCGGGTTGGAAAATTCCCAGGTTTCCCGGGTTGGAAAATTCCCAGAATCAGGAGGGAAAACGCAAGGATTTCGCTACACCCGCATTAACATCTGCTAAACGTTGTATGTGACAAATAAAAATGTGATTTGATTTTGAATAAGAAGGAAATCCGTAATCCTCCAAACAGGATTTCTGGAAAACCTGGGAATTTTGTGGAAGTTATCCGAATGTTGCAACCCTAGTTACATGACAGAATGACAGAGGTTGTGTTACCGCGGTTCTCTATCTGACACACTGTATATAGTCCTGATGACTACAACTAGTCCGTTTCTACATGTATTACCAAGTCATTCTGTAACTGTAGTATTTGAATGAGCGTAACATGAGCCAGAAGGTTATTTTATCATAGCTGCAGTAACAGTTTGTTTGAACGGAAGGGTCTTACGGCATCTTATCTTCCTGCTGGCGTGGAAAGGATGCGTCCCAAATGACTACCTATCCCTGCATAGTGTACTACTTTAGACCACAAGTAGTACACTATATAGAGCAGTGTTTCCCAACTCCAGTCCTCCAGGACCCCCAACAGCCCAACTCCAGTCCTCCAGGACCCCCAACAGCCCAACTCCAGTCCTCCAGTACCCCAACAGCCCAACTCCAGTCCCCCAACAGCCCAACTCCAGTCCTCCAGTACCCCCCAACAGCCCAACTCCAGTCCTCCAGTACCCCCAACAGCCCAACTCCAGTCCTCCAGGACCCCCAACAGCCCAACTCCAGTCCTCCAGTATCCCCTACAGCCCAACTCCAGTCCTCCAGCACCCCCAACAGCCCAACTCCAGTCCTCCAGTACCCCCCAACAGCCCAACTCCAGTCCTCCAGGACCCCCAACAGCCCAACTCCAGTCCTCCAGTCCTCCAACAGCCCAACTCCAGTCCTCCAGTCCTCCAACAGCCCAACTCCAGTCCTCCAGTCCTCCAACAGCCCAACTCAAGTCCTCCAGCACCCCCAACAGCCCAACTCCAGTCCTCCAGCACCCCCAACAGCCCAACTCCAGTCCTCCAGGACCCCCAACAGCCCAACTCCAGTCCTCCAACAGCCCAACTCCAGTCCTCCAGTACCCCAACAGCCCAACTCCAGTCCTCCTGTACCCCCCAACAGCCCAACTCCAGTCCTCCAGTACCCCAACAGCCCAACTCCAGTCCTCCAGTACCCCCCAACAGCCCAACTCCAGTACCCCCCAACAGCCCAACTCCAGTCCTCCAGTACCCCCCAACAGCCCAACTCCAGTCCTCCAGTACCCCCCAACAGCCCAACTCCAGTCCTCCAGTACTCCCCAACAGCCCAACTCCAGTCCTCCAGTACCCCCCAACAGCCCAACTCCAGTCCTCCAGTACCCCCCTGACAACTTGTCAAGGGTGTTGTCAGGTGTGCTTCTCCGGGGCCACAACAAAAATATGGACTGTTGGGAGTACTGGAGGACCGGAGTTGGGAAACACTGTTGGGAGGACTGGAGGACCGGAGTTGGGAAACACTGTTGGGAGGACTGGAGGACCGGAGTTGGGAAACACTGTTGGGAGGACTGGAGGACTGGAGTTGGGAAACACTGTTGGGAGTACTGGAGGACCGGAGTTGGGAAACACTGTTGGGAGTACTGGAGGACTGGAGTTGGGAAACACTGTTGGGAGTACTGGAGGACCGGAGTTGGGAAACACTGTTGGGAGGACTGGAGGACCGGAGTTGGGAAACACTGCTCTAGAGAACAGGGTATCATTTGGGACGCTGACAGAAAGCCACTGTGTGGAGAGTTGGACAGTATGCCTGGCTGTGACCAGGGAGGGAAACAGCACTTTGGTCTGCTGGCTGGGAGGGTTGGACAGTATGCCTGGCTGTGACCAGGGAGGGAAACAGCACTTTGGTCTGCTGGCTGTCAGAACTACTGACAGAGAAAACACACATTTATAGTTGGTTACTGTACACATTTTACAATTCTCTCTTGCTCAGTGTGCGTCAGTCCAGTCAGGCTTGTTTGTCATTGGTGCCATTCTTGTGCATTGTGTCACTTAAATTAGAGGGATGATCTGGTACTAGGATTATCGTCACAGAGTTTTAATGTATGTATGTGTGTGTGTGTGTGTGTGTGTGTCTTTGAAAAAAATTAAATGTTGCAATATCAGTTGTTGTTGTGAGACAGATTGTGTGCCTTCTCAAATGCAGTGAATACATGACTTGTGATTCTCTACAAGGTGCTACAAGATGGACAACTTTTTTGTTTTGCTAGATCTGGTTTCTAAAATGACTGTTTATTGCAGAATTAGCAGATTTATGTGAAAAAGGCACCATGACGATACACATACAATTAGAATTAGAATCTCCCCACAAAACACATCCATGTATATTTGACCTTGATTGACACAAACAACGTTTTGCAAATTGCACATCTATTCTGGAAGACAATGGAGAAAAAAAATATTAAAAGAACGTGCTACTCCTTAAAAATACATTTCTTATATATATATATATATTATCTCTACATGATCATTCATTAACCAAAGCGTTTAGCGTTGGCAACATTAACTTAAAGACCTGGCAGCTAGGGGCCTCTACTCGTCTGGCAGGGCCACTGGGTCTCCATATTGGATCTGATGCAGGGGCCTCTACTGGTCTGGCAGGGCCACTGGGTCTCCATATTGGATCTGATGCAGGGGCCTCTACTGGTCTGGCAGGGCCACTGGGTCTCCATATTGGATCTGATGCAGGGGCCTCTACTGGTCTGGCAGGGCCACTGGGTCTCCATATTGGATCTGATGCAGGGGCCTCTACTGGTCTGGCAGGGCTACTGGGTCTCCATATTGGATCTGATGCAGGGGCCTCTACTGGTCTAACAGGGCCACTGGGTCTCCATATTGGATCTGATGCAGGGGCCTCTACTGGTCTGGCAGGGCTACTGGGTCTCCATATTGGATCTGATGCAGGGGCCTCTACTGGTCTAACAGGGCCACTGGGTCTCCATATTGGATCTGATGCAGGGGCCTCTACTGGTCTGGCAGGGCCACTGGGTCTCCATATTGGATCTGATGCAGGGGCCTCTACTGGTCTGGCAGGGCCACTGGGTCTCCATATTGGATCTGATGCAGGGGCCTCTACTGGTCTGACGTTGAGGGAGAGGGTGTTTACCTGGCACCACGCCGTCAGAGTGCCTTCCTCCTCTCTGTAGGCCGATCAGGCAAACACCCTCTCCCTCAACGTCAGCAAAACAAAGGAGCCGATTGTGGACTTCAGGAGGAACCAGGGAACGCCCCCATCCTCATCAACAGGGCCGCCATGGAGACGGTCAAAACCTTCAGTAAATATTATCTGATGCACCTTATTAGGAACCAAATATCTTTACACTCTAAACTCTGCCTGTATCTGAAATTCATTTGACCAATGTAATTTGCATTAAGTTACTCTTTTGGCATTACCATAACATAAAAGAGGATATACATAAATATCATATTATTCTCTTTGCCAGCAAACCAGAAGATTTACACAATAATGATCATATTAAACAATTGGTTATTATTAACATCTATCATTCAATATCTGAAATACTCTAGATCCGAATCTAGTCACAGACGGTGGTTATTTTGGTTGGTTCCATTTGTCTGTATCTCAAGACCACCTGATCCATTCTCTGTCCAGTGTTATCCTCTACACCGCCCAAAGACAACTTTACACCTGTAGCTAGAATAACTCTGGTCCAATCAGGTGGAAACATTTTCTGCTGCTAGTTTTCCCACCATCCTGTGCAACAAATAACTGAATCAAAGACAATAGTTGATTGAAGTGTAGTTATTCCCATCAGGCATCACAGCGGGGATGCTAACTCTGTGTGCTGTAGTACATTTGAATCAAAGACAATAGTTGATTGAAGTGTAGTTATTCCCATCAGGCATCACAGCGGGGATGCTAACTCTGTGTGCTGTAGTACATTTGAATCAAAGACAATAGTTGATTGAAGTGTAGTTCTTCCCATCAGGTATCACAGTGTGGATGCTAACTCTGTGTGCTGTAGTCCATGTTGAAGGCTTCAGTCTGTCTGTCTAGTGTTTCTTTCCTTCTACGGTGACTGCTCCAGAAGCTCCTGTCGGCGTCTCATGATCTCAGCGAACTGGGCGCGCTCCGTGGCGTCCTGGAAACAGAAACCGTGACAACATAAAGGGGCCTGGTCATGAGACAGGTGGGTGTGGCCTGGAGGGTTCAGTGGCTGCTGCCCTCATCGAATGACTCCACCCCTGAGTCACAGGCTGTGAGCGACAGCTTCTCCTGACGCCGCCGCATGATCTCCTGCAGCTCTGACCCTGAACTCCTCTGGAGGGAGAGATAGAGAGAGGGATGGATGGAGGGAGAGAGAGACAGAGAGAGATAGAGAGAGAAGAGAGCGAGAGACAGAGAGAGAGAGACAGAGAGACAGAGAGAGAGAGAGAGAGATAGAGAGAGAGAGAGAGAGGAGAGGATGGATGATAGAGAGGAGAGAGAGAGAGAGATAGAGAGAGAGAGAGAGAGACAGAGGAGAGAAGAGTATAGAGGATATATAGATATAATAGCGATGAGTCGCGCGATTCGCTTCGATAGCTCATCATGCGCTATACTCTAGCGCTCACGAATATAAGAGATCGATATACAGATAGACATCTATACAACCCTATCCGCAGAGATAGAGAGACAGAGATAGAAGCTCTCTCTAGATAGATATATGTAGCATCTAGCGATATCTCTCGTTTCAGCTCGAGTAGATATGTAGTCTCTCTCCTCATTCTTCTCTCTTCTCTTCTCCGTCGCGCGCCTCGATCTCTCTCCCCCTCCTAAATAAAGCAAGAAAGTAGAGGTCAGTAGAGATGTCTCCTACAGAGGGATTCTATGGAACTAAATAATGTCCACATTCATCTCAGTAGGGCTGAATCATAGAGTTGAAAACAGTAATGAGGTCACTGTAGAAGCCATTCTAGTGTTTATAACTCTACGAATCCATTAGAGAACTGAGCGGTCAGAGGAGAGGATCACCAGCTGGGCAGCTACAGAGAAACTCTTTCTGTTAGGAAATGAATGTAGATGACAGTCTGGTGGGAGAATCCTGTGACAGGTCAGACGGTAGGCTTTGCTAGCTCTGGCCCGAGCGAGATATTGTCCAGCAGACCTGCTGACCTTTAGACTGAGCCTGAGAACCAGCCGGACAACATCGTTCTCGGGACCAGCGCTGGAATAACCATTTTGTTTTCAGAGCTGATCCACAAATACCTACATTTCCTTTTGGCAGATCCACTCAACCTGTTCTACACTGACCTGTAGTTCCCTTAGTTCCACACAGCTGTAATCTACAGTGGTACAGTGTATACTATGTCCTACACTTCCACAGCAGAAATATCCTGTAGGTATGGAAGAAACACACCTGAAATCTAGTTGATATGCCAGCTAAGGGTTAAAATGACCCTTGGCCTTGGGTTTGGTTCAGTCTAGTAGTGATGTGGTCGTGGAGAATGATAACTGGTAGAGGGGTTTGGGTCTAGTAGTGATGTGGTCATGGAGAATGATAACTGGTAGAGGGGTTTGGTTCAGTCTAGTAGTGATGTGGTCGTGGAGAATGATAACTGGTAGAGGGGTTTGGGTCTAGTAGTGATGTGGTCGTGGAGAATGATAACTGGTAGAGGGGTTTGGTTCAGTCTAGTAGTGATGTGGTCGTGGAGAATGATAACTGGTAGAGGGGTTTGGTTCAGTCTAGTAGTGATGTGGTCGTGGAGAATGATAACTGGTAGAGGGGTTTGGTTCAGTCTAGTAGTGATGTGGTCGTGGAGAATGATAACTGGTAGAGGGGTTTGGTTCAGTCTAGTAGTGATGTGGTCGTGGAGAATGATAACTGGTAGAGGGGTTTGGTTCAGTCTAGTAGTGATGTGGTCGTGGAGAATGATAACTGGTAGAGGGGTTTGGTTCAGTCTGTAGGTCAGGTATGTTCCTATGTCTCCCATATCTAGTGCAGGCTGAGCTACGAGGTGAGGTGAGGCATGGGAACATTTCCAGCCAGGAGGAGACCAGCTGGTGGGTTCTTAAAGCCATGGTGGGTCTCTAGGAGGGGGAATTCTAAAGCTACACATCTAGGTTTTTAGCATCCATCTGCTGGCCAGCTTCACAACATTTAGAAAAACTACCTGTTATCATACTTATTGAAGTATGAGAAAAATGCTGAACCAAACTTCAGACTGTTTTTTCAATGTGTGCAGTTGATACAATACATACTGTATGTTATCTTGACCTGCACACTGGATTGTCTAAGTTGAGCAGTGAAGTGGTGTTTCAATAGAACACAGATCGGTGAGGTGTGTTAGCGTAGCGAGACAGGTAAGGAGAAGTCCTGAACAGAAGAGAGCAGTGACTACAAGAAGCTGGCCAACAGAGTAGAGCCTAGAACAACCTCTCTAGTGGAACAATACCTTAGTGAGAGTTTAGAGTCTGAAGACTTCAGTGGTCAGAAGAAGACCTGCAGGAGGACAGAGACCAGACAGAAACCACCCCTTGCCAGAGCTTTAAATAGCATGTAGACTGCAAGTACCCCTGTAAACACTTGTATGTACCTGTATGTACCTGTAAACACCTGTATGTACCTGTATGTACCTGTAAACACCTGTATGTACCTGTAAACACCTGTATGTACCTGTATGTACCTGTAAATACCTGTATGTACCTGTAAACACCTGTATGTACCTGTAAACACCTGTAAACACATGTATGTACCTGTATGTACCTGTAAACACCTGTATGTACCTGCAAACCCCTGTATGTAACCTTGACTGTCATCCTGTATGTTACCCTTGTAAACACCTGGTATGTACCTGTATGTACCATGTATGTACCTGTAAAACCACCTGTATGTACCTGTAGGTACCGGTCACACCGTATTTACCGTATGACCTGTTAAACACCCTGTATGTACCTGTATGTACCTGTAAACACCTGTATGTACCTGTATGTACCTGTATGTACCTGTAAACACCTGTATGTACCTGTAAACACCTGTATGTACCTGTAAACACCTGTATGTACCTGTAAACACCTGTATGTACCTGTATGTACCTGTAAACACCTGTATGTACCTGTAAACACCTGTATGTACCTGTATGTACCTGTAAACACCTGTATGTACCTGTAAACACCTGTATGTACCTGTATGTACCTGTAAACACCTGTATGTACCTGTATGTACCTGTATGTACCTGTAAACACCTGTATGTACCTGTATGTACCTGTATGTACCTGTAAACACCTGTATGTACCTGTATGTACCTGTAAACACCTGTATGTACCTGCAAACACCTGTATGTACAGTGCATTTGGAAAGTATTCAGACCCCATTACTTTTCCTCATCAATCTACACACAATACCCCATAATGACAAAGCACACAGGTTTTTATAATTTTTTTGCAAATGTATAATACAAAAAACTGAAATATCACTTTTACATAAGTATTCAGACCATTTACTCAACACTTTATTGAAGCACCTTTGGAAGCGATTACAGCCTCGAGTCTTCTTGGGTATGACGCTACAAGCTTGGCACACCTGTATTTGGGGAGTTTCTCCCATTCTTCTCTGCTGATCCTCTCAGGCTCTGTCAGGTTGGATTGGGAGCGTCGCTGCACAGCTATTTTCAGGTCTCTCCAGAGATGTTCAATCAGGTTCAAGTCCCGGCTCTGGCTGGGTCACTCAAGGACATTCAGAGACTTGTCCCGAAGCCACTCCTGCGTTGTCTTGGCTGTGTGTTTAGGGTCGTTGTCCTGTTGGAAGGTGAACCTTTGCCCCAGTCTGAGGTCCTGAGCGCTTTGGAGAAGGTTTTCATCAAGGATCTCTCTGTACTTTGCTCCGTTCATCTTTCCCTCGATCCTGACTAGTCTCCCAGTCCCTGCCGCTGAAAAACATCCCCACAGCATGATGCTGCCACCACCATGCTTCACCGTAGGGATGGTGCCAGGTTTCCTCCAGACGTGACGCTTGGCATTCAGGTCAAAGAGTTCAATCTTGGTTTCATCAGACCAGAGAATCTTGTTTCTCATGGTCTGAGAGTCTTTAGGTGCCTTTTGGCAAACTCCAAGTGGGCTGTCATGTGCCTTTTACTGACTTCCGTCTGGCCACTCTACCATAAAGGCCTGATTGGTGGAGTGCTGCAGAGATGGTTGTCCTTCTGGAAGTTTCACCCATCTCCACAGAGGAACTCTGGAGCTCTGTCAGAGTGACCATCGGGTTCTTGGTCACCTCCCTAACCAAGGCCCTTCTCCCCCGATTGCTCAGTTTGGCCGGGCGGCCAGCTCTAGGAAGAGTCTTGGTGGTTCCAAACTTCTTCCATTTAAGAATGATGGAAGCCACTGTGTTCTTGGGGACCTTCAATGCTGCAGAAATGTTTTGGTACCCTTCCCCAGATCTGTGCCTCGACACAATCCTGTCTCTGAGCTCTACGGACAATTCCTTCGACCTCAAGACTTGGTTTTTGCATTGACATAAACTGTCAACTGTGGGACCTTATATAGAAGGTGTGTGCCTTTCCAAATCATGTCCAATCAATTGAATTTACCACAGGTGGACTCCAATCAAGTTGTAGAAACATCAAGGATGATGGATACATCTGAGCTCAATTTCGAGTCTCATAGCAAAGGGTCTGAATACTTATGTAAATAAGGTATTTCTGTTTTTTATTTTTAATAAATTAGCAAACATTTCTAAAAACCTGTTTTCACTTTGTCATTATGGGGTGTTGTGTGTAGATTGATGAGGAAAAACATTAATTTAATCAATTTTAGAATAAGGCTGTAACGTAACAATGTGTCTGAATACCTCTTTAAGGAATACCTGGGATAGGATAAAGTAATCCTTCTACCCCCCCCTTACCCCACCCAAAAAAAAAAAAAAATATTGTAAAGTGGTTATCCCACTGGCTATGATAAGGTGAATGCACCAATTTGTAAGTTGCTCTGGATAAGAGCGTCTGCTAAATGACGAAAATGTAAAATGTAATGCAGGTGTTTACAGGTACATACAGGTGCATACAGGTGTTTACAGGTACATACAGGTGTTTACAGGTACATACAGGTGTTTACAGGTACATACAGGTGTTTACAGGTACATACAGGTGTTTGCAGGTACATACAGGTGTTTGCAGGTACATACAGGTGCATACAGGTGTTTACATGTATATACAGGTGTTTGCAGGTGCATACAGGTGTTTACAGGTACTGTGATTACATCAAACACGTTCAGTAGAAGATATTCAGGGTTCTGTGATTACATCAAACACATTCAGAAGAAGAGATTCAGGGTTCTGTGATTACATCAAACACATTCAGTAGAAGAGATTCAGGGTTCTGTGATTACATCGAACACATTCAGAAGAAGAGATTCAGGGTTCTGTGATTATATCAAACACATTCAGTAGAAGATATTCAGGGTTCTATGATTACATCAAACACATTCAGAAGAAGAGATTCAGGGTTCTATGATTACATCAAACACATTCAGAAGAAGAGATTCAGGGTTCTGTGATTACATCAAACACATTCAGTAGAAGAGATTCAGGGTTCGTTGATTATATCAAACACATTCAGAAGAAGAGATTCAGGGTTCTGTGATTATATCAAACACATTCAGTGGAAGAGATTCAGGGTTCGTTGATTATATCAAACACATTCAGAAGAAGAGATTCAGGGTTCGTTGATTATATCAAACACATTCAGTGGAAGAGATTCAGGGTTCTGTGATTATATCAAACACATTCAGTAGAAGATATTCAGGGTTCTATGATTACATCAAACACATTCAGAAGAAGAGATTCAGGGTTCTATGATTACATCAAACACATTCAGAAGAAGAGATTCAGGGTTCTATGATTACATCAAACACATTCAGAAGAAGAGATTCACTAAAGCAGACACCCAGCCAGTAGAATCCCCTGAACTACACTAGCCACAATGCAACACTGGGTACAAACATTTAGCACAAGTGGACTTTTCAACACAGTCTGGACTTTGGATAGCTAAACACTTTAGCGACTGGCTGCCTTTCGTTCAGGTTTAACCCTGCACTCTGCCTTGATGCAGCTAGCTGTTGTAGCTTTAGTCCTGGTCTATCAGTGTTTATCAGCTAGCTGCTGTAGCTTTAGTCCTGGTCTAACAGTGTTTATCAGCTAGCTGCTGTAGCTTTAGTCCTGGTCTATCAGTGGTTATCAGCTAGCTACTGTAGCTTTAGCCCTGGTCTATCAGTGTTTATCAGCTAGCTGCTGTAGCTTTAGCCCTGGTCTATCAGTGTTTATCAGCTAGCTACTACTGTAGCTTTAGCCCTGGTCACTCAGTGTTTATCAGCATAGCTGCTGTAGCTCTTTAGCCTGGTCTAAAAAAAAATATGGTTGATCCAGCTAGACTGGGCATTTAGTCCTGGTCTATCAGGGTGGTTATCAGCTAGGCTGTAGCTTTAGTCCTGGTACTATACAGTGGTTATCAGCTAGCTGCTTTAGAGTTAGCCCTGGTCTATCAGTGGTTATCAGCTAAGCTACTGGTAGCTTTAGCCCTGGTCTATCAGTGTTTTATCAGCTAGCTGCTGGTAGCTTTAGGTCCTGGTCTAATCAGTGTTTTATCAGCTAGCTGCTGTACGCTTAGCCCTGGTCTAATCAGTGTTTATCAGCTAGCCTGCTGTAGCTTAGTCCGGGTCTAATCAGTGTTTATCAGCTAGCTACTGTAGCTTTAGTCCTGGTCTATCAGTGGTTATCAGCTAGCTGCTGTAGCTTTAGGCCTGGTACTATCAGTGTTTATCAGCCTAGCTACTGTAGCTTTAGCCCGGGTTAATCAGTGTTTATCAGCTAGCTGCTGTAGCTTTAGGTCAAGGGTCTACGTGTTTTTATCAGCGAGCTGCTGTTATCAGCTAGTTTACTGTAGCTTAGTCCTGTCTATCAGTGGTATCAGCTAGCTACTGTAGCTTTAGTCCTGGTCTATCAGTGTTATCAGCTAGCTGCAGGGTTAGCCGGCTCGTGGTCTATCGCTAGCGGGGGTTTCAGCGCTCGGTGTTATCGCTAGCTGGCAGGGTTAGCCGGGTGTTTATCAGCTAGCTGGCAGGGTTAGCCGGCTCGGTGTTATCAGCTAGCTGGCAGGGTTTAGCCGGCTCGGTGTCTATTCAGCTAGCTGGCAGGGTTAGCCGGCTCGGTGTTTATCAGCTAGCTGGCAGGGTTAGCCGGCTCGGTGTCTATCAGCTAGCTGGCAGGGTTAGCCGGCTCGGTGTTTATCAGCTAGCTGGCAGGGTTAGCCGGCTCGGTGTTATCAGCTAGCTGGCAGGGTTAGCCGGCTCGGTGTTTATCAGCTAGCTGGCAGGGTGTTAGCCGGCTCGGTGTTTATCAGCTAGCTGGCAGGTTAGCCGGCTCAGCTGGCAGGGTTAGCCGGCTCAGTGTGTTATCAGCTAGCTGGCAGGGTTAGCCGGCTCGGTGTTATTATCAGCTAAGCTGGCAGTGGTTAGCCGGGCTTCTCGGGTTAGTCTATCAGCTAGCTGGCAGGGTTAGCCGCTCGGTGTTATTAGCTAGCTGGCAGGGTTAGCCGGCTCGGTGTTTATCAGCTAGCTGGCAGGGTTAGCCGGCTCGGTGTTTATCAGCTAGCTGGCAGGGTTAGCCGGCTCGGTGTCAGCATTATCAGGGTTAATAAGAGGAGAAGCACTACCCACCTCCAGAGCAGCCTTCTGGACGGTCACCTGACTGAAGACCCTGGCCCCGTCGTCTGGACACACCGTCTTCAGCTCTTCCTTATTCAGAGAGAACAGCTGGGCTCCGGTTAACACTCCCAGACTGGTGATGGTACTGTAGAGACGGGTAGCAGCACAGGAGCACGGTGTCCTCGTCACCATAGAAATAGACATCAGCATAAAGACACACCAGAGTTGAGCTCATTCATTTTAAGTAGTGAAAAGTACAGGACCCAGAACAGAACCTTGGTGGGACACCAGCAGTCAACTCCACATAGTCAAGATTTAACTCATATTTCTATATGTCCAGTGTGACTTACAACGAGTTGAATCCCTTCAGCTGTAGCCAGGCCTTACATTGGAGTCATTTAGCAGACGCTCTCTCATCCAGAGCGACTTACAGTTAGTTAGTGAGTGCATACATCTTTCATACTGCCCCCCCCGTGGGAATCGAACCCACAACCCTGGCGTTGCAAGCGCCACGCTCTACCAACTGAGCTACAGGGGACTACATCAGGAGAGGAGATATCAGTACTATACAGTGTATTATCATATAGATATATAGATTATACTGTATATATATTTAGATTACGTACACAGAGCTGAATCCCTTCAGCTGCAGCCAGGCCTTGACCTCGTCAGGGGAGGAGTCGTATGTGATGTTGACGGACGGGAGGGAGGCGCTGCGAGGAGGAACGGCAAACTTCTTGTTGGCGCTTCGACCCAACGTGAGGCGGTGCATCAACTCATCCTGAACCTCCTCCATGTTGGACTTCCTCCCTACAGGACACAACATTACCCATAACACCTAGCCCCATCCCCTGAACCCTAACCCTAAATCCCAACTCCTGATATTAACCCCGCCCACCATCAGCCACCAGGAAGTAAACATTACAGTAAAGACAGACCCCTTTGCCCTGAGACACAGTATGACATCATCGGAGTCTACAACCCTCTGTCCGGGAAAACAGACACCCAACAACAGCCATGAGGTCACCAGGAAACATTACAGTACATAGACAACCAGCACCTTCCCTTAAAGTTACATGAAGACAGGTGTGACTTACGGTTGACTGGCGGGGGTCTCTGGTTTGGGTGGTCTCTCATGGTGACGCTGCCTTGGATGCTTCCGGCGTCGCTGGAGGTGTTGCTGCTCTGTCTACTCACCGTGCTGGGAGGGGGGCGGGGGGGGGAGGCAGGGGGAGGCAGGGGAGGGGTGGGGAGACGTGCCGGGGCAAGAGGGGGGGGTGTAGGGATAGGGGGCATGGGGGTCGCGTGGGTTTGGGGACGTGGTCTGTCCGCTGTTTCTGAGGAGGAGAAGAGAAGCGGAGACTGTAGTGGTGAACTCAGAACAGATCCTACAAACATTACCAACAGAATCCATACACTGTATTAATATGAAGCAGATGTTGCTTATAGTTACCTCGTTCAACTCTCCCAGTAATTGCTTGCATGAGGAAATGGAAATAAAACATGGTTGTGAGAGTGTTTTACTGTAGTTTGCCAAACTCACTCAGGTTCAAAGACAACTGACAAGAAACCTCATCTTATTTTAAGACAGGGGATTTCAATCTGATAACCAATGTTTCTGTTTACCCCACTGGGAGAAACTCTTCTGTTAAAAAGTCACAGCACATTGACAAGGCGGTGTTAAGATGAAACCACAGCACATTGACAAGGTGGTGTTAAGATGAAACCACAGCACATTGACAAGGCGGTGTTAAGATGAAACCACAGCACATTGACAAGGTCTGGTGTTAAGTGAACCAGATGTATTATGTAGGTGGGAGGGAGCCTGCGAGGACGGCAACTTCTGGTTGGCGCTTCACCCAAGGCGAACTCATGCTTCTGGACTCTCCTGGAAAAACAGTCCTCCACCCAAACGACCTGATAATCGTCCTAACCCCTACCCATTCATACGCAGAAAGTAACGACGTCAAACTACAGGACACAAGAAACCCATCTATTACATTGACTTGTAACCCACCACATGTCACCTGCTTGGACTACAAGCCGACCTAGCCATTGACAGGGGATAGTACGGTCTGCAATGGGTGTAGGATGAACCGCCTTGAGGCGGTGTTTTAGGAAAAGCGGCGGTGGTGTAGAAACCAAATTACAAGAGTGTTAGATGAACACTGCACATTGACAAGGCGTGGTGTTAAGATGAAACACGTTGGGCGTTGTTTTGTTGTTTGGAAACGCTGTTAAGATGAAAAACAACCCATATGAAGCGGTGGTTAAGTGTACCATGCCATTGACACTGGCCTTCGTTAATATCACAGCACATTGACAGGCGTGTGGTTAGATGAAACCACAGCTTGACAGGCTGGTGTATTAAGATGAAAGTCCAACACATCTGACAAGGGGGTAAATGAAAACCCAGACATGACAAGGCGGGAGTTAAGTGAAACCACAGTCATTACAAGCGTTCGTTAGATGAACCACGCACATTGACAAGGCGGTGAGTGTTAAGATGAAACCACAGCACATTGACAAGGCGGTTTAGTGAACCACAGCACTTGACAACGGTGGTGTTGTAAGATAAACCACAGCACATTGACAAGGCGTGTGTAACGGAAGGGGAAACACAGCACATTGACAAGGCGGTGGTGTTAAGGAAACACAGCAATTGAAAGGCGTGTTGTTGTGAACCACGCACTGACAAGGTGTGTTAAGATGAAACCACAGCACATTGACAAGGCGGTGTTAAGATGAACCACAGCATGAAGGCGTGTACAGATGAAACCACAGCACATTGACAAGGCGGGTGTTAAGATGAAACCACAGCACATTGACAAGGCTGGTGTTAAGATGAAACCACAGCACATTGACAAGGCGGTGTTAGATGAAACCACAGCACATTGACAAGGTGTGTAAGTAAGATGAAACCACAGCACATTGACAAGGCGGTGTTAAGATGAAACCACAGCACATTGACAAGGCGGTGTACGTGTTAAGATGAAACCAAGCACATTGAAAGGCGGTGTTAAGATAAACCACAGCACATTGACAAGGCGGTGTTAAGATGAAACCACAGCACATTGACAAGGCGGTGTTAAGATGAAACGACAGCACATTGACAAGGGTGGTGTAAGATGAAACCACAGCACATTGACAAGCGGTGTAAGTGAATAACCACAGCACATTGACAAGGCGGTTGGTGTTAAGATGAAACCACAGCACATTGACAAGGCGGTGTTTAAGATGAAACCACAGCACATTGACAAGGTGGTGTTAAGATGAAACCACAGCACATTGACAAGGCGGTGTTAAGATGAAACGACAGCACATTGACAAGGCGGTGTAGGGTGTTAGATGAAACCACCACATGACAAGGTGGTGTTAAGATGAAACACACAGCACATTGACAAGGCGGTGTTAAGATGAACCACAGCACATTGACAAGGGGTGTTAAGATGAAACCACAGCACATTGACAAGGCGGTGTGTTAAGATGAACCACAGCACATTGACAAGGTCGGTGTTAAGATGAAACCACAGCACATTGACAAGGGTGTAACGGTGTTAAGATGAAACCACAGCACATTGACAAGGCGGTGTTAAGATGAAACCACAGCACATTGACAAGGCGGTGTTAAGATGAAACCACAGCACATTGACAAGGCGGTGTTAAGATGAAACCACAGCACATTGACAAGGCGGTGTAACGGTGTTAAGATGAAACCACAGCACATTGACAAGGCGGTGTGTTAAGATGAAACCACAGCACATTGACAAGGCGGTGTTAAGATGAAACCACAGCACATTGACAAGGTGGTGTTAAGATGAAACCACAGCACATTGACAAGGCGGTAAGTGTTAAGATGAACCACAGCACATTGACAAGGCGGTGTGTAAGATGAAACCACAGCACATTGACAAGGCGGGTGTTTAGATGATAACCACAGCACATTGACAAGGCGGTGTTTTAAGATGAAACCACAGCACATTGACAAGGGGTGTTAAGATGAAACCACAGCACATTGCAAGGCGGTTCTGGTAGTTAGATGAAACCACAGCACTTGACAAGGCGTGTAACGGTGTTAAGATGAAACCACAGCACATTGACAAGGCGGTGTGTTAAGATGAACCACAGCACATTGACAAGGCGGTTAAGATGAACCACAGCACATTGACAAGCGTGTTAAGATGAAACCACAGCACATTGACAAGGTGGTGTTAAGATGAAACCACAGCACATTGACAAGGCGGTGTAACGGTGTTAAGATGAAACCACAGCACATTGACAAGGCGGTGTTAAGATGAAACCACAGCACATTGACAAGGCGGTGTTAAGATGAAACCACAGCACATTGACAAGGCGGTGTTAAGATGAAACCACAGCACATTGACAAGGTGGTGTTAAGATGAAACCACAGCACATTGACAAGGTGGTGTTAAGATGAAACCACAGCACATTGACAAGGCGGTGTTAAGATGAAACCACAGCACATTGACAAGGCGGTGTTAAGATGAAACCACAGCACATTGACAAGGGGTGTTAAGATGAAACCACAGCACATTGACAAGGCGGTGTTTAAATGAACCACAGCCATTGACAAGGTGGTTTAAGATGAAACCACAGCACATTGACAAGGCGGTGTAAGTGTTAAGATGAAACCACAGCACATTGACAAGGCGGTGTTAAGATGAAACCACAGCACATTGACAAGGCGGTGTAACGTGGTTAAGATGAAACCACAGCACATTGACAAGGCGGTGTTAAGATGAAACCACAGCACATTGACAAGGCGTGTGTTAAGATGAAACCACAGCACATTGACAAGGGTGTTAAGATGAAACCACAGCACATTGACAAGGCGGTGTAGTGGTTAAGTGAAACCACACACTTGACAAGTGTGTGTTAAGATGAAACCACAGCACATTGACAAGGCGGTGTAGTGTTAAGATGAAACCACAGCACATTGACAAGGCGTGGTGTTAAGATGAAACCACAGCACATTGACAAGGCGGTGTTAAGTTTGATGAAACCACAGCACATTGACAAGGCGGTGTTAAGATGAAACCACAGCACATTGACAAGGTCGGTGTTAAGATGAAACCACAGCACATTGACAAGGCGGTGTAACGGTGTTAAGATGAAACCACAGCACATTGACAAGGCGGTGTTAAGATGAAACCACAGCACATTGACAAGCGTGTGTTAAGATGAAACCACAGCACATTGACAGGCGGTGTAACGTTGTTAAGATGAACCACAGCACATTGACAAGGCGGTGGTTAAGATGAAACCACAGCACATTGACAAGGCGGTGTAACGGTGGTTAAGATGAAACCACAGCAACATTGACAAGGTGGTGTTAAGATGAAACCACAGCACATTGACAAGGCGTTGTAACGGTGTTAAGATGAAACCACAGCACATTGACAAGGGGTGTTAAGATGAAACCACAGCACATTGACAAGGCGGTTGTAACGGTGTTTAAGATGAAACCACAGCACATTGACAAGTGGGTGTTAAGATGAAACCACAGCACATTGACAAGGCGGTTGTAACGGTTTAAGATGAAACCACAGCACATTGACCAAGGGCGGTGTTAAGAATGAAACCACAGCACATTGACAAGGCGGTGTTAAGATGAAACCACGCACATTGACAAGGCGTGTGTAAGATGAAACCACAGCACATTGACAAGGCGGTGTAACGTGTTAAGAAACCACAGCACATGACAAGCGGTGTAGTTAAGCTTAGCGTGTAGGTTAAGATGAAACCACAGCACATTGACAAGCGGTTCGGTGTTAAGATGAAAACCACAGCACATTGACAAGGCGGTGGTGTTAAGATGAACCACAGCACATTGACAAGGCGGTGTTAAGATGAAACCACAGCACATTGACAAGGCGGTGTTTAAGATGAAACCACAGCACATTGACAAGGCGTGTGTTAAGATGAAACCACAGCACATTGACAAGGGTGTTAGTGATGATACACGCTTGAACTTTTAAGGCGGTGTTAAGATGAAACCACAGCACATTGACAAGGCGTGTACGTTTAAGATGAAACCACAGCACATTGACAAGGCGGTTGTTTAACGTGTGTTAAGATGAAACCACAGCACATTGACAAGGCGGTGTGTGTTAAGATGAAACCACAGCACATTGACAAGGCGTGTGGTGTTAAGATGAAACCACAGCACATTGACAAGGCGGTGTGTGTAAGATGAAACCACAGCACATTGACAAGGGGTGTTAAGATGAACCACAGCACATTGACAAGGCTGGTGTTTAAGATGAAACCACAGCACATTGACAAGGCGGTGTTAAGATGAAACCACAGCACATTGACAAGGCGTCGGTGTTAAGATGAAACCACAGCACATTGACAAGGCGGTGTGTTAAGATGAAACCACAGCACATTGACAAGTGACGTGTTAAGATGAAACCACAGCACATTGACAAGGGGTGTTAAGATGAAACCACAGCACATTGACAAGGCGGTGTTAAGATGAACACAGCACATTGACAGGTGTGTAAGATGAAACCACAGCACATTGACAAGGCGGTGTTAAGATGAAACCACAGCACATTGACAAGGCGGTGTAACGGTGTTAAGATGACACCACAGCACATTGACAAGGCGGTGTTAAGATGAAACCACAGCACATTGACAAGGCGGTGTTAAGATGAAACCACAGCACATTGACAAGGCGGTGTAACGGTGTTAAGATGAAACCACAGCACATTGACAAGGCGGTGTTAAGATGAAACCACAGCACATTGACAAGGCGGTGTAACGGTGTTAAGATGAAACCACAGCACATTGACAAGGCGGTGTTAAGATGAAACCACAGCACATGACAAGGGGTGTTAGTAACGGATGCAAGCGTTAAGATGAAACCACAGCACATTGACAAGGCGGTGTAACGGTGTTAAGATGAAACCACAGCACATTGACAAGGCGGTGTTAAGATGAACCACAGCACATTGACAAGGCGGTGTTAAGATGAAACCACAGCACATTGACAAGGCGGTGTTAAGATGAAACCACAGCACATTGACAAGGCGGTGTAACGGTGTTAAGATGAAACCACAGCACTTTGAAAAGGCGGTGTTAAGATGAAAACACAGCACATCGACAAGGCGGTGTAACGGTGTTAGATGAAACGCAGCACTCGCACTTGGTTTGTTGTAACGTGTTTTTAGATGAACCACAGCACATTGACAAGGTGGTGTTAAGATGAAACCCAGGTGTAACGGTGTTAAGATGAAACCACAGCACATTGACAAGGCGGTGTAACGTGGTTAAGATGAAACCACAGTTAAAAGGGAGGAGGACATAGAGGGAGGGTTTCTGGAGTTTTAACATGGAAGGGAGCCAGGTCACTCCGCTGGCTAGTCTAGAGGTGAAACTGAAACACTACAGCAGGGATGCAGGTCCTTGGGAACTCAGTCAGGGTCGCTAGCTAGGCTAGAGGCAGGGATGCAGGTCCTTGGGAACTCAGTCAGGGTCTCAGCTTACTGATGCCAGTTACAATAGTAGAACGCACAAGGTGCCATTTTGAAATGTGGTTGTGAGTCAGCAGTTCTTCTGTTGTTATGTCAGTCACTGACAGTCACTCAATTAGCCCCATGGCAGCAGAACATTTTTAGATTGGTAAATTAGTCTAGCCCGCTATGTAAACTTGTAGTAATCATGGTCGAATTACAGAAAAGGGGGTCCCCCATTGATTTTGTTAGTCACTCTCACTCAGATATCATATTAAAAACTGCCAACATTACTCTCCCCGCCCCCATGGCAAAATGTGTAGAATTGCATGAAATTACCTCTAAAACTAAATTTCAGGCCACAGCGGTGGGTATGGGTGTGGGTAAGCAGACCCGCGGCCCACAGCGGCACCCTCAACATAAGTTGATATTTAAGTTGCCCATCCCTGCACTAGAGGCACTCAGCACACAGAGACATTCTAAGAACCATATATATACAGCTCTACTTTAGCTATATACAGTATGACTCTGGTCCAATATATACAGCTCTACTTTAGCTATATACAGTACGACTCTGGTCCAAACAACCCTACCTTGAACAACTCAAACTCCTTCTTTGGCATCATCAGCTTTATGTGGAAGACAAAGAGGAGCAGGTGGAATGGAGACACATAGACAGACAGACAGCCAGACAGACAGACAGACAGCCAGACAGACAGACAGACAGACAGACAGCCAGCCAGACAGACAGACAGTCAGACAGTCAGATAGACAGACAGACAGACAGACAGACAGACAGTCAGTCAGTCAGTCAGACAGTCAGTCAGTCAGTCAGTCACAGGTCAGTCAGTCAGTCAGTCAGTCAGTCAGTCAGTCAGTCAGTCAGTCAGTCAGTCAGTCAGTCAGTTAGACAGTCAGTCAGTCAGTCAGTCAGTCAGACGTATGAATATGAGCTGTATGAATGGGATCATGATGTAATGGCTGGCTGATGAGATGCTTTACCCTATCAATAGGACTGGTGAACATGTAGGGGAGAGGTGGAGAGCCTTATAGCTTTACCCTATCAATAGGACTGGTGAACATGTAGGGGAGAGGTGGAGAGCCTTATAGCTTTACCTTATCAATAGGACTGGTGAACATGTAGGGGAGAGGTGGAGAGCCTTATAGCTTTACCCTATCAATAGGACTGGTGAACATGTAGGGGAGAGGTGGAGAGCCTTATAGCTTTACCCTATCAATAGGACTGGTGAACATGTAGGGGAGAGGTAGAGAGCCTTATAGCTTTACCCTATCAATAGGACTAATATTAACACAAAAATGCTGAGAATACCAATACCTTATTCTGAGACACCCCAGGGACTTACCTGTATAGTATGGCTATAGATGGGCTCCCCCCGCACCGTGACGTCCACAGCCTTGGTGACCTCCAGGATGTTGTTTGGCACGTAGCCAGACGCCCCGGCACAGTTACCAACCTTCCACCACTGCTTCCTGTCATCCAGCACCTGACCAGGGTTAACAGGAGGAGGATTGGTTACCTTCAACACTGTAAATGTTGTTACATGTTGCAGATGGACCTGACCAGGGTTACCAGGGGGAGGATTGGTTATCTTCAACACTGTAAATGTTGTTACATGTTGCAGATGGACCTGACCAGGGTTACCAGGGGGAGGATTGGTTACCTTCAACACTGTAAATGTTGTTACATGTTGCAGATGGACCTGACCAGGGTTACCAGGGGGAGGATTGGTTACCTTCAACACTGTAAATGTTGTTACATGTTGCAGATGGACCTGACCAGGGTTACCAGGGGGAGGATTGGTTACCTTCAACACTGTAAATGTTGTTACATGTTGCAGATGGACCTGACCAGGGTTACCAGGGGGAGGATTGGTTACCTTCAACACTGTAAATGTTGTTACATGTTGCAGATGGACCTGACCAGGGTTACCAGGGGGAGGATTGGTTACCTTCAACACTGTAAATGTTGTTACATGTTGCAGATGGACCTGACCAGGGTTACCAGGGGGAGGATTGGTTACCTTCAACACTGTAAATGTTGTTACATGTTGCAGATGGACCTGACCAGGGTTACCAGGGGGAGGATTGGTTACCTTCAACACTGTAAATGTTGTTACATGTTGCAGATGGACCTGACCAGGTTTACCAGGGGGAGGATTGGTTACCTTCAACACTGTAAATGTTGTTACATGTTGCAGATGGACCTGACCAGGGTTAACAGGGGGAGGATTGGTTACCTTCAACACTGTAAATGTTGTTTACATGTTGCAGATGGACCTGACCAGGGTTACCAGGGGGAGGATTGGTTACCTTCAACACTGTAATGTTGTTACATGTTGCAGATGGACCTGACCAGGGTTACCAGGGGGAGGATTGGTTACCTTCAACACTGTAAATGTTGTTACATGTTGCAGATGGACCTGACCAGGGTTACCAGGGGGAGGATTGGTTACCTTCAACACTGTAAATGTTGTTACATGTTGCAGATGGACCTGACCAGGGTTACCAGGGGTAGGATTGGTTACCTTCAACACTGTAAAATGTTGTTACATGTTGCAGATGGACCTGACCAGGGTTAACAGGGGGAGGATTGGTTACCTTCAACACTGTAAATGTTGTTACATGTTGCAGATGGACCTGACCAGGGTTACCAGGGGGAGGATTGGTTACCTTCCTTCAGAAAGTATTCATACCCCTTGACTTATTGATTCCCACGGGGGGGGGGGCAGTATGAAAAATGTATGCACTCACTAACTGTAAGTCGCTCTGGATAAGAGCGTCTGCTAAAATGACTAAAATGTTTTTAAAAATGTGATGCAGGGTCTGAAACAACAGTCTTTAGGATTCGGGGGGTATTACACTGACGTTACATGTTGCAGTGAGCCTTCATGTTAAACTGTTCCTCACCTCCACCACCTCGTCCTTCACCACCGACAGCTCTGTGCTGTTTCTGGCGACAAAGTCATACTTGGATTTGGCGAACAGTTTTGGCTGACCTCTGCTGCCGCGGGCCTCGTAGTTCCTGTTACGTTAGAGGTTAGAGTTCAGGGGTCAGGGGTCAGACAGATGGACTAACAGTAGAATAGGGACTGATAATACTGAGGATGATGACACACATCGTATCCAATCGAACCATCATCATCCAAAACCACAACAGACCAAGGACATCTCAACGTTAGTTCAAAAAACAGGAAGTTCAAAAATACAGGACAGTACGACACTGTAGGATGACACTGCTACAAGCTACCTGCTTGTGGACATGTGACTGAATTGGGAACAAGCCAAACATGGACCACAGACACCTACAGACAGCTCCTACTGCTACTGACTGTCCCAGCCGAGGAGAAGCGGCCCAACTTTAACATCAGAGGTTAGAGAGAGAGAGCAGACGGACAGGGAGAGGATAGAGGGGAGCTGTGATTGATAAAGATAATTTACCCGTTGCACCCAGAGCCTTGTTGTTTTTATATACAGTAGAACCTATATTATAGAGTCAGAGTATTAGCCTGTTGGCCCATAAGAGGATAAGAATGGAGGATATTAATATCAATGGAAAGGGGAGAACACTGTGAATACAGACACAGTGTTAGAGGATCCACAAGTCAAATCAGGTGTGAACCAATAGGGGAGAGATGAGAGATGAGATTGGCAGATTCTACACCAGTAGGAAATAACTACTTCCTGTCCCTCATGCTGCTACCGTTAGCTAGATAGCTACTACCTGACGCTCATTATGTTTATTCTACCGTTAGCTAGCTAGCTACTTCCTGAGATGTGATGTTTATTCTACTGTTAGCTAACTAGCTACTCACTGGGATGTGATGTTTATTCTACCGTTAGCTAGCTAGCTACTTCCTGGGATGTGATGTTTGTTCTACCGTTAGCTAGCTACTCACTGGGATGTGATGTTTATTCTACTGTTAGCTAGCTACTTCCTGGGATGTGATGTTTATTCTACCGTTAGCTAGCTAGCTACTTCCTGGGATGTGATGTTTATTCTACCGTTAGCTAGCTACTCACTGGGATGTGATGTTTGTTCTACCGTTAGCTAGCTACTCACTGGGATGTGATGTTTGTTCTACCGTTAGCTAGCTAGCTACTTCCTGGGATGTGATGTTTATTCTACCGTTAGCTAGCTACTCACTGGGATGTGATGTTTGTTCTACCGTTAGCTAGCTACTCACTGGGATGTGATGTTTATTCTACCGTTAGCTAGCTACTCACTGGGATGGGATGTTTGTTCTACCGTTAGCTAGCTAGCTACTTCCTGGGATGTGATGTTTATTCTACCGTTAGCTAGCTACTCACTGGGATGTGATGTTTGTTCTACCGTTAGCTAGCTACTCACTGGGATGGGATGTTTGTTCTACCGTTAGCTAGCTAGCTAGCTACTCACTGGGATGTGATGTTTGTTCTACCGTTAGCTAGCTAGCTAGCTACTTCCTGGGATGTGATGTTTATTCTACCGTTAGCTAGCTACTCACTGGGATGTGATGTTTATTCTACTGTTAGCTAGCTAGCTACTCACTGGGATGTGATGTTTATGCTACCGTTTGCTAGCTAGCTACTCTCTGGGATGTGAAGTTTATGCTACCGTTAGCTAGCTAGCTACTCACTGGGATGTGATGTTTATAAACCAATAGTTGAGAGTGAGAGAGATGAGATTGGCAGATTCTACAACAGTAGGAAATAATATGTTTCTTAGTTGAGAGGGGACCGTTTTAGAGTAAGTAAAGTGTGTCCAGAGGGGCATTGGTTTTATAGACAGTAAAGCATGGCCAGTTCTTCAGGGCGTTGGGTTCAGTCAGGTGACCGCGGTGCAGTGTTACCGGTCTACGTGTCGTGAGACAGCCTGTTTGAAGGCCTGCACGGCCATGTCCTGGTCCAAGAGGGGCATGCGCTTGTAGGCCTTGGTGTCGAATGCATACCCTTGTGGATTGGGGAAGTCCTGTACACCCGGATTCTGGGGGGAGAGAGAGAGAACACAAATACATCAGCTGAACTCATTGATGAAGAGACTGTGATTATTGATGAAGAGACTGTGATTATTGATGAAGAGACTGTGATTATTGATGAAGAGACTGATCATTGATGAAGAGACTGTGATTATTGATGAAGAGACTGTGATTATTGATGAAGAGACTGTGATCATTGATGAAGAGACTGAGATTATTGATGAAGAGACAGATTATTGATGAAGAGACTGTGATCATTGATGAAGGGACTGTGATCATTGATGAAGAGACTGTGATTATTGATGAAGAGACTGAGATTATTGATGAAGAGACTGAGATTATTGATGAAGAGACTGTGATTATTGATGAAGAGACTGATCATTGATGAAGAGACTGTGATCATTGATGAAGGGACTGTGATTATTGATGAAGGGACTGTGATTATTGATGAAGGGACTGTGATTATTGATGAAGAGACTGTGATCATTGATGAAGAGACTGTGATTATTGATGAATAGACTGAGATTATTGATGAAGAGACTGTGATTATTGATAAAGAGACTGTGATTATTGATGAAGAGACTGTGATCATTGATGAAGGGACTGTGATTATTGATGAAGGGACTGTGATCATTGATGAAGAGACTGTGATTATTGATGAAGAGACTGTGATCATTGATGAAGAGACTGTGATTATTGATGAATAGACTGAGATTATTGATGAATGGACTGTGATTATTGATAAAGAGACTGTGATTATTGATGAAGAGACTGTGATTATTGATGAAGAGACTGTGATCATTGATGAAGAGACTGTGATTATTGATGAAGGGACTGTGATTATTGATGAAGAGACTGTGATCATTGATGAAGGGACTGTGATTATTGATGAAGAGTGTGATCATTGATGAAGAGACTGTGATTATTGATGAAGAGACTGTGATTATTGATGAAGAGACTGTCATTATTGATGAAGGGACTGTCATTAATGATGAAGGGACTGTCGTTAATGATGAAGGGACTGTGATTAATGATGAAGGGACTGTCGTTAATGATGAAGGGACTGTCGTTAATGATGAAGGGACTGTCGTTAATGATGAAGGGACTGTCGTTAATGATGAAGGGACTGTCGTTAATGATGAAGGGACTGTCATTAATGATGAAGGGACTGTCATTAATGATGAAGGGACTGTCATTAATGATGAAGGGACTGTCATTAATGATGAAGGGACTGTCACTAATGATGAAGGGACTGTCATTAATGATGAAGGGACTGTCACTAATGATGAAGGGACTGTCATTAATGATGAAGGGACTGTCACTAATGATGAAGGGACTGTCATTAATGATGAAGGGACTGTCATTAATGATGAAGGGACTGTCACTAATGATGAAGGGACTGTCATTAATGATGAAGGGACTGTCATTAATGATGAAGGGACTGTCATTAATGATGAAGGGACTGTCACTAATGATGAAGGGACTGTCATTAATGATGAAGGGACTGTCACTAATGATGAAGGGACTGTCATTAATGATGAAGGAACTGTGATTATTGGAGCACAAAATAAAAGATACCTGAAACTTTTCAAAAGCTTGGAACACAAGTGAACTAACAAGTGAGACAGTCCCTCAGGGAAATGTCTGGTAGGTTAACTTGGCCCCACCCTGCTAGGTTGGACCCGTCTATGGAATCTGACAGTGTCTGCTTTGTCATGAAAACCATGTACCTCACTAGACAGTCTGTGTACCATCTCTTCCTGTCTCTGGATCGCAGAGTGGGTTAGGGGACTGGGTTTAGGGGTAAGGGGCTTGGGGTCAGGGTTCAGGGGTTAGCAGCTAGGGGTTAGGGGTTAGGGTTTAGGGGTTAGGGGCTAGTGGCCAGAGTTTAGGGGTTAGGGGTCAGGGTTCAGGGGTTAGCAGCTAGGGGTTTGGGGTGAGGGTTTAGGGGTTAGTGGCCAGAGTTTAGGGGTTAGGGGCTATGGGTCAGGGTTCAGGGGTTAGAAGCTAGGGGTTAGGGGTGAGGGTTTAGGGGATAGGGGTGAGGGTTTAGGGGATAGAGGTCAGGGTTCAGGCGTTAGCAGCTAGGGGTTAGGGGTGAGGGTTTAGGGGCTAGGGGTGAGAGTTTAGGGGTTAGGGGCTAGGGGTTAAGGTTTAGGCATTGGGGTTAGCAGCTAGGGGTTAGTGGTGAGGGTTTAGGGGATAGAGGTTAGGGGCTAGAGGTCAGGGTGCGTACCTCTGTAGACAGCCTGTCTACCATCTCCTCCTGTCTCTGGATCTCAGAGTGGGTTAGGGTTTAGGGGTCAGGGTTCATACCTCTGTAGACAGCCTGTCTACCATCTCCTCCTGTCTCTGGATCTCAGAGTGGGTTAGGGTTTAGGGGTTAGGGGCTAGGGGTTAGGGGCTAGGGTTTAGGGGTCAGGGTTTAGGGGTCAGGGTGCGTACCTCTGTAGACAGCCTGTCTACCATCTCCTCCTGTCTCTGGATCTCAGAGTGGGTTAGGGTTTAGGGGTTAGGGGCTAGGGGTTAGGGGCTAGGGTTTAGGGGTCAGGGTTTAGGGGCTAGGGTTTAGGGGTCAGGGTTCATACCTCTGTAGACAGCCTGTCTACCATCTCCTCCTGTCTCTGGATCTCAGAGTGGGTTAGGGTTTAGGGGTTAGGGGCTAGGGGTTAGGGGCTAGGGTTTAGGGGTCAGGGTTTAGGGGTCAGGGTGCGTACCTCTGTAGACAGCCTGTCTACCATCTCCTCCTGTCTCTGGATCTCAGAGTGGGTTAGGGTTTAGGGGTTAGGGGCTAGGGGTTAGGGGCTAGGGTTTAGGGGTCAGGGTTTAGGGGTCAGGGTGCGTACCTCTGTAGACAGCCTGTCTACCATCTCCTCCTGTCTCTGGATCTCAGAGTGGGTTAGGGTTTAGGGGTTAGGGGCTAGGGGTTAGGGGCTAGGGTTTAGGGGTCAGGGTTTAGGGGTCAGGGTTCATACCTCTGTAGACAGCCTGTCTACCATCTCCTCCTGTCTCTGGATCTCAGAGTGGGTTAGGGTTTAGGGGTTAGGGGCTAGGGGTTAGGGGCTAGGGTTTAGGGGTCAGGGTTTAGGGGCTAGGGATTAGGGGCTAGGGGTCAAGGTTTAGGGGTCAGGGTTTAGGGGTTAGGGTTCATACCTCTGTAGACAGCCTGTGTACCATCTCCTCCTGTCTAAGGATCTCAGAGTGGGCGAAGGTCTGGGTCAGCTGATTCAGCTCTGCCTCTCGTGATTGGGGGACGAATGGAATCATGGGAGGTTCCCAACCGCAGGGAAAACGGGCCAGCTTTACACGGAGGGAAGTAGTGGTCCTTAGGCCACTCCAACCTGGAGAAGGGGGAAAAGTTTGAAGAGGGAGAGAAAGGAGAGGGGTGGGAAAGAAGAGAGGGGGAGAAGAGAGAGAGAGAGAGAGAGAGAGGAGATGAGAGAGAGAGAGAGAGAGAGAGAGACAAGAGTGAGAAGAAAACGATGAAGAGAAAGAGAGAGGAAGATAGAGGGGAAAATAGAGGGGCCCCGCGGAGCAGGATGGGGGGGCTGGGGGGGTGGGGAGGGTGGGTGGTGGTGAGTGGGGCGTTTGGGGGGAGGGGGCCGGTGGCGTGAGGGGGGGGGCCGGCGGGGGGAGGGCGGGGGGGGGGTGAGAGGTCGGGGGGGGGGAGCGGGGGGGGTAGGACGAGAGGGAGGAGAGAGATAGATATAGATAGAGAGGAGAGAGAGAGAGAGAGAGAGGCATGTTGATTTCAAAAAGCTTTTGATTCAATTTGGCATGAGGGTCTGCTATACAAATGGATGGAAAGTGGTGTTGGGGGATAAACATAGGACTTTATAAAATCCACAAACAACAAGTGTGCGGTTAAATGTGCAAAAAAGCTTGCAAACAATATACAAGGGATGCAGTTATACACCATGATGCAGTTACCCTCCTCAACATATATATCAACCAGGGATGCAGTTTAAGCCCCACCCTCCTCAACATATATATCAACCAGGGAAGCATTTAGCCCCCCCCTTAAACCCCACCCTCCTCAACATATAAATCAACCAGGGAAGCAGCTTAAGCCCCACCCTCCTAAACATTATATCAACCAATGGAGGAAGGGGCACTAGAACAGTCAGCAGCACCCGGCCTCACCATACGAGAAATTCTGAAGGTCAAATGTCTACTGTTTGCTGATGATCTGGTGCTCTGTCCCCCAACCCGGAATGGCCTACAGCAGCACCTAGATCTTCTGCACAGATTCTGTCAGACCTGGGCCCTGACAGTAAATCTCAGTAAGACAAAAATAATGGTGTTCCAAAAAAGGTCCAGTTGCCAGGACCACAAATACAAATTCCATCTAGACACCGTTGCCTTAGAGCACAAAAAAATGGGACAAACACCAAATTGAGACTCTGCATGCAGAATTCTGCTAAAATATCCTCTGTGTAAAACATAAAACATGCATGAAGAGCAGAATTAGGCCGATACCCGGTAATTATCAAAATCCAGAAAAGAGCCGTTAAATTCTACAACCACCTAAAAGGAAGCGATTCCCCAAACCTTCCATAACAAAGCCATCACCTACAGAGAGATGAACCTGGAGAAGAGTCCCCTAAGCAAGCTGGTCCTGGGGCTCTGTTCACAAACACAAACAGACCCCACAGAGCCCCAGGACAGCAACACAATTAGACCCAACCAAATCATGAGAAAACAAAAAGAGAATTATTGACACATTGGAAAGAATTAACAAAAAAACAGAGCAAACTAGAATGCTATCTGGCCCTAAACTGAGAGTACACAGTGGCAGAATACCTGCCCACTGTGACTGACCCAAACTTAAGGAAAGCTTTGACTATGTACAGACTCAGTGAGCATAGCCTTGCTATTGAGAAAGGCCGCCGTAGGCAGACCTGGCTCTCAAGAGAAGACAGGCTATGTGCACCCTGCCCACAAAATGAGGTGGAAACTGAGCTGCACTTCCTAACCTCCTGCCAAATGTATGACCATATTAGAGACACATATTTCCCTCAGATTACACAGATCCACAAAGAATTCGAAAACAAACCCAATTTTGATAAACTCCCATATCTATTGGGTGAAATACCACAGTGTGCCATCACAGCAGCAAGATTTGTGACCTGTTGCCACAAGAAAAGGGCAACCAGTGAAGAACAAACACCATTGTAAATACAACCCATATTTATGTTGATTTATTTTCCCATTTGTACTTTAACTATTTGCACATCATTACAACACTGAATATAGACATAATATGACATTTGAAATGT